TTCAACCTGGCAGGTCTCTGGGTCCTTCTCCTATTTTTGGGGAAATCAGGGTTGGCTCCGGGGGTGAGTTTTTGTAATTTAAGTTGTGGCCACCATACCCAGGGTGACTAAAGTGTGTCAAAACACTGGTTAGCCCAGAGTTATGTCAAGAGAGAAGGACAAAAGTTAATAAGGTACACCATGTGGGAGAACAGCTATGGAGTGTGTAGATCTTTGTTTTTAAAGTGTGGGGCTGTAATTGTATATTCTGTACATATCTATTGAGAATACAGTTATATTTTTATAAAAAAAAAAAAAATAATTGTATTCTCAATAGATATGTACAGAATATACAATTACAGCCCCACACTTTAAAAACAAAGATCTACACACTCAATTGGATCACTGTGATCCGGTATGCACAGATCAGAACCTTTAATGAGTTTTGAGATTTTATCTACTTCCAGCTGGCCCAGGGCAGGGCTGTGGCAGCAGGAAACCTCTTGAAACTCTCAGAGTCTCTCATCCATGCATTCCAGAGTTAAAAAAAAATATTGGCACTCTAATAATATACAAATTTTATTTTATTTTTATTTATTTATTTATAATTTGAGCACACATACAGAGGTACAAAAAATACAGATAAGAGCAGCATGCCAAAGCCACTTATACTATGCATAGCATTACGGGCTGGCTTAAAATTAACTTAAGATTAACTAAGCAATGATGAGATCAGTGAAAAACATTAATGTAAACAGATTACTATAAAGCACAAGTGAGTATTACAAAGACAGGTCATATGGTTGCATGCATTGTTGTAAATTCAGTAGAATGGAGTATTCTGTTAGGTAGTGTATTTAAAAAAATAATAAAGTTAGATTGGGTTTTAGGTTTAACATTTATGTGATATAATTGTGAGAAACATTTAAGATATACAATTTATAAGGTTCAGTTATTCAGTATTTATTTGGTTTTGGGTGAGTAAGTGATCTTTGAGAAGAGACTTGAATTTATAAACGGGTAGTGTTTCTTTTATATTTACAGGTAATGAATTCCAGATTTTAGGGCCTTTTATGTGCATTGAGTTTTTGCATAGCGTGAGATGGACACGAGGAACATCAAAGAGTGATCTGTGCCTTGTGTTATGGTCATGTGTTTCTGTTGAGGTTGGCAAGGAGATGTTTGAGGGGGGGTTAATATCAGAGTTAAGTGTTCTATGTATGTAATAGGTGCAGTAAAAAAGTATGGATGTTTTGTATGGTGAGTAGGTTGAGTGTATTGAATATTGGTGGAGTGTGCTGCCTGTAGTGAGAATTTGTTATCATTCTAACTGCAGCCTTTTGTTGGGTAATTAGTGGTCTGAGATGGTTACTTGTTGTTGAGCCCCATGCACAAATTCCATAGGTGAGATAGGGGTAAATAAGAGAGTGATATAGGGCCAGGAGGGCTGACTGTGGAGCATAGTACCGTATCTTCGATAGTATGCCTACAGTCTTGGAAATTTTCTTAGAAATTTGTTGTATATGTGTATGAATTTGAGTCTATTATCTAGGTGGTTTCCCTAAGAATTTTCCCTCTGTTAGCTTTGTGATAGGTGATCCGTTTATCATTATGTTAAGAGGGACATCTGTAGCTCTGTTACCAAACTGAATGAAGTAGGTTTTGTCAATGTTTAGTGTAAGTTTGTTAGTACTCATCCAGGTAGATATTTTCTGTAATTCGGTATTTACAGTATTGGCTAGCGTGACTGGGCTCGGGTGGGAGAAGACGTATGTTGTGTCATCAGCAAATAGTGTGGGTTTGAGTAATTGCGAAGCATTTGGTAGGTCATTTATATATAGGAGAAAGAGAAGAGGGCCAAGGACACTTCCCTGTGGGACACCAACTGTAATTGGTTTTGCAGAAGAGTTTGCCCATTTTTCGTAAATATTGGCTTCTGTTGCTGAGGTATGACTTGAGGTAGTTGAGGGAGTGCCCTCTTATACCATAGTGTGACAATTTTACGTGGAGCAAGTCATGGTCAACTGTATCAAAGCTTTACGTAAGTCAATGAAGATCCCCAGTGGGACTTCTTTTTTCTCTATTGCAGTGTATATATGTTCTAGCATGTGTATAATAGCATCATTAGTATTTTTATTAGGCCTGAATCCAAATTGGCAGGGGTTGAGTATGTTTTGGGAGATAAGGTAGGAGTAGATTCGTTTATGAATTAATTTTTCGAAGATTTTTGAGAGAGGGTGTAAGTTGGATATTGGCCTATAGTTATTCAACTCTGTTTGGTCTCCTCCTTTGTGGATCGGGGTGACCCTTGCTATTTTGAGTACTGTAGGAAGGTGGAGGATTCAATGGATTTGTTAAAGAGTGTTGCAATGATTGGTGATAGCACTTGTGACACTTTTTTGTATATAAAGGGGTGGTAAGGTATTTATATCTCCTGCCTTGTTTTTTAGTGCGTTGATAATAAGGGAGACTTCGTATGGGTTAGTCGGAGCTAGGAACAGTGTGTTCGGGTAGTTGCCGGTGAGGTAGTCATTTGGTGGGGTATCTGAGCTTGGGATTTTATTGGCAAGGTTTTGTCCTATAGTGGAGAAGAAATCATTGAGTCTGTTTGCTGTTTCTGTTGGTGGGAGTTGGGGTTCATCTGATTTTGCTAATTTTATTTCGCTATTTCGTGATATCTTTTTTGTTCCCAGAATTTCTGATAGGGTTTTCCAGGTCTTTTTTATATCACCTCGTAAGTTGGATAATCTGTTCTCATAATACAATTTTTTTGCAAATAGGAGAGAGAAGCTTATGACAGTATTTTAGTCTGACTTGGACCGTTTACAAAGTCACACTATACAGTGGACCCCCGCATAACGATTACCTCCGAATGTGACCAATTATGTAAGTGTATTTATGTAAGTGCGTTTGTATGTGTATGTTTGAGGGTCTGAAATGGACTAATCTACTTCACAATATTTCTTATGGGAACAAATTCGGTCAGTACTGGCACCTGAACATACTTCTGGAGTGAAAAAATATCGTTAACCAGGGGTCCACTGTATATACTGGCTCTTTTGTGTTGTGTGACTTTGTAAATGGTCCAAGTTGGACCGAAATGTTGTCGTAAGCTTCTCTCTCCTATATACAGGTTATTTGTGTATTGTTCCAGTCATGATATTGTGCCTTTTTGTTCTCTTTAATAATATTTGTGTTTATAAATACAGTACTAAAATTCTGTTATCCCTGGTGCAGGCGTCTCACAGCACCCACAGAAATCTGCTCGTGCTTCACATGGTTTTCACTGCATTTCCAGGTTTCACTGGGAATACAGTGGAACCTCAATTTGACAAATCAGTAGGGGGAGTGGGGTGTCCATTAAAGCCAGTGGTCCAGACCCAAAATCTGAGACGTGTCCACAGGGTCCAAGAATTTAAAAAAAAAATTGTTATTTTTCTTATGAAATGGTAATCTTTTTCTGGAGGTAATAAAACAAAAAATATGAAATTTGATGGAAAATTGATGAAATTACGCTCTCGCAAATTTTGATACATCAACGACATTTACACATCGGCGATTTTGCCGACTTTGACTCCCATTTTAGGCCAATTACATTATTCCAGTCGACCAAATTCTTAGCTATTTCGCTAGTATTACTTCTATTTTATCGACTGTTTCAACTACCCAGTAAAGTGATCGGAAATTGGTAATTTGGCCAATTTATCACAAAGTTCAAAATACAGTGGACCTTCGAATTTAGTAGTGCCTTTTCTGTATGCAAAACTATTTTTGTTATCTATAAAATGTATGTTTTGTTAATATTTCCCATAGGAAATAATGTAAATCCAATTAAACCATTCCAGACACCCAAAAATATTAACAAACAATACATTTTATAGATAATAAAAATAGTTTTGCACACTGAAAAGGCACTACTAAATTCGAGGGTCCACTGTATTCCTATTTCAAAATAGGGTCCAGAATAAACAATGCAGGCATTCCTGGCACTAAACTAACACTTTCCTCTATTCATTAATTTGGTTTTCAGGCTTTACAAATGAATTCCATTTTGATTTTATGAATTTTTATTCAAATAAAAAAATGGAAGATTTACTCTTATGCAATATTGTAATAATTGTATAAATTATATCAGCGCATTTGTGAACGCACATAAGACCCATCAGCTGACGTGTATTGGATGAGTGAGGTGATTTGTTTACTCTTGAACATCGGCAAAAATTTAACATTTCTGCTACTTTGAGCTCAGTTTCAAGCCATTTTCAGTACTAAAACAAATCAAAATCTTCTCTATTTCTGTAATATATCTTCCATTCTATCAAATGAGACCAAGAAATCGCAAATACAACTATGAAAAAACATACGAAAAAACACCGCAAAGTCGCTGTTTTAATCCAAAATTACGGTCTCAGTTTTTTTTCTCTCATTATGCACTGTGTGCTGCAGGATTTGTTTTATGTGGTGCACACTTACCACATAGATGTATTCTCTCATATTTAGGCCCAAATTTACCACTCACAGCTCATGAGTGAGCTGAGCTCATGGTGTAGAACTATGGTTTGGACCCTGTAAAGGTTAACAGGATTTTCTCATTAATGAGAAATTGGCTTACCCAGCAGACCACAACAGTGACTGAAAACTCTGGATTTGTCACTTAATCCATTATTTCTGGACTTTGTCTGATTACAGATTTTGTCACTTAAATCCAAAATCCATTGTCCTGATCCATCAGAAAAAAAAAGTTCTACTCTATTGATTTATTTGGATTTTTTCCTTGACATTGATAATAGAAAATGATTGTGAATTTCTATAAAATTCTTTGTTGATTAATGAGTAAGTGTTCCTAAATTTCTGTGAAATTCTTTACCAGTTTTTACTTAGGTTTTCAAGAATTTCATTGAATTCTTTGTTGATTTTTAAATGAGTAAGTCTTCATGAATTTCCATGAAATTCCTCATGAATTTCAGTGAGTTCTTTGCTATTTTTTTACAAAAGTTTTCAATAATGTTTTTACTTTTCAGAGGAAATAACTGCAAGTTTTCGTCGCTTCGGTCCTTTAGTCGTGGATTGGCCGCATAAGGCCGAGAGCAAGTCTTATTTCCCTCCTAAGGGGTATGCTTTTCTTCTGTTTCAGGTAGGTCTGATTGTGGCTTTTGTCTGTAGTTAAAATCATTGATTTTTGCCAATAATGTAGCCATGTGTATTTACACCTGGATACATGTACACACAGTTGCATACATGAGAAATATTGACATGTGTATACATGCCTGCATATATAATTGCATACATGAAAAATGTTGTCATATGCATATATAACTGCACACACATGTATACACAGTAGCATCAGTGGCAGCATCAGTCTTTGCTCCTCTGTTTTTTCAACCACCTGAGGATTCTGTCAACCCACGTAGCACTAATGATGTGGAGACCCAAAACGACATAATTCATCTGCAGAAATTACCTAAGCCACCGAAATGCACCCAAAAGAACCACGCTACCAAGAAGGTTTGTTGTCACCCCACCATTCGCCCCACTGCCAAGCGAAGTTAAGCCTCTCTACATCTGCCTAATACCCATACTCAGCAAGCCACCTGAACCCACTGTCGATGGCCAAGGGTCAGCACAACAGAAGAAAATCCATTAATCAAGCCAGGACTCACAACAACACAGTTATTACCAGTACAGTGTCTCCTCCAAGCAAAAAGGGCACCACCCACACCACCCACTGCAGCCCCCACATCACTCGCCGAACATCAACAAACATGGCCGCCACCCCAAGCAAAGAGGTGAACTCCTTCCTTGGATTCGACAAACTGGAGCTGCAATATCCAGAAATGGTTGCATACATCAAGGCACAAGACCAACAAATTGCCACATTAACTCAAGAAATGCAGGAATTAAGAACAGCAAAACAGCTTACTCACCCAGAAAGTACAACAACTAAAGCTGCCAATAACCAATTCCTTGACAGATTCACTACCCTAGAAGGTAAAAATAACAGCCACACTGAAACTGAGCACACCATCAATATCCTTAGAACAAAGATCACGAGTTGAGCTCCAACTCGCCGACGTCATCAACAACTTCCAAGACCATAATGACCAACAACAGCTCTCTGATGCTGTTGTAGTTAATAGCCACCATCTCCCATCTACAGTAACCCAAGAGACATGCATGAAGACCACTCTACAGCTTATTAAGGACCACCTTTGCCTACACATACCTAGTGATTAAGTAAAAGAGTGCAAACTGATGGGCTACCAAGCAGGAAAAAGAAGTGCTGTTAAAATTCAACACTAACTTGTCAGGGAATAACCTGTTAAAAACATCCTTATCTGTGAAATCCTCGGTATATGTCAATGAGCGCCTTACCAAAACAAGGCAAAACCTCCTTTATCGATTAAGAAAATTACGCCACAACCAAAAAATCCATCAGTGCTTTGTGAGCGACGGTAAAATTGCAGTTAGGAAAGAACCCAGTGGAAAGAGGTACTTAATCTCTACGGAAAATGAACTAAAAAAGTTTCTTAACAAGGCTGGTTTAACTGACACAGAATAAGGTGCAGTTTATACCCACCATCCACAAATACTGTTACGAACCACTATGTAACTGTTATATACTGCCATAAAATTAGTTGCTACATTCTAATATCCTCATACTACTTTTGTTACTTTTATATTTCACTTTTGTATTAAATTACCACTCCACCTCATAGTCTTAATTGTTTTTAATCTCTATATAATCTCTATCATTACCCTTTATTATCACTTCTGCTACTATATATATTTGTAATTTACCATATCATTGCCCTTTTATCACTTCTATTATTTTATACATTTGTAATTTACCATATCATTGCCCTATTTCACCATTTATAATCCTCTTAGTATGTTTTATTACAATTTATTTTTACTTTACGTATTAAAATCCGTGTTGCCAAATATTCCATTTGTAATTTACCATAACATTGCCCTATTTCTTAGTATCTTTTATTACAACTTACTTTTATTTTACTTTTTTAAAATCTGTGTTACAAGATTATTAATATCTGTCATTACCATCTTATTATCATTTTTTTTTTTTTTTTTTTTTTATCACACTGGCCGATTCCCACTAAGGCAGGGTGGCCCGAAAAAGAAAAACTTTCACCATCATTCACTCCATCACTGTCTTGCCAGAAGGGTGCTTTACACTACAGTTTTTAAACTGCAACATTAACACCCCTCCTTCAGAGTGCAGGCACTGTACTTCCCATCTCCAGGACTCAAGTCCGGCCTGCCGGTTTCCCTGAACCCCTTCATAAATGTTACTTTGCTCACACTCCAACAGCACGTCAAGTATTAAAAGCCATTTGTCTCCATTCACTCCTATCAAACACGCTCACACATGCCTGCTGGAAGTCCAAGCCCCTCGCACACAAAACCTCCTTTACTCCCTCCCTCCAACCTTTCCTAGGCCGACCCCTACCCCGCCTTCCTTCCACTACAGACTGATACACTCTTGAAGTCACTCTTTCGCTCCATTCTCTCTACATGTCCGAACCACCTCAACAACCCTTCCTCAGCCCTCTGGGCAACAGTTTTGGTAATCCCGCACCTCCTCCTAACTTCCAAACTACGAATTCTCTGCATTATATTCACACCACACATTGCCCTCAGACATGACATCTCCACTGCCTCCAGCCTTCTCCTCGCTGCAACATTCATCACCCATGCTTCACACCCATATAAGAGCGTTGGTGAAACTATACTCTCATACATTCCCCTCTTTGCCTCCAAGGACAAAGTTCTTTGTCTCCACAGATTCCTAAGTGCACCACTCACCCTTTTCCCCTCATCAATTCTATGATTCACCTCATCTTTCATAGACCCATCCGCTGACATGTCCACTCCCAAATATCTGAATACATTCACCTCCTCCATACTCTCTCCCTCCAATCTGATATCCAATCTTTCATCACCTAATCTTTTTGTTATCCTCACAACCTTGCTCTTTCCTGTATTCACTTTTAATTTTCTTCTTTTGCACACCCTACCAAATTCATCCACCAACCTCTGCAACTTCTCTTCAGAATCTCCCAAGAGCACAGTGTCATCAGAAAAGAGCAACTGTGACAACTCCCACTTTATGTGTGATTCTTTATCTTTTAACTCCACGCCTCTTGCCAAGACCCTTGCATTTACTTCTCTTACAACCCCATCTATAAATATATTAAACAACCACGGTGACATCACACATCCTTGTCTGAGGCCTACTTTTACTGGGAAATAATTTCCCTCTTTCCTACATACTCTAACTTGAGCCTCACTATCCTCATAAAAACTCTTCACTGCTTTCAGTAACCTACCTCCTACACCATACACCTGCAACATCTGCCACATTGGCCCCCTATCCACCCTGTCATATGCCTTTTCCAAATCCATAAATGCCACAAAGACCTCTTTAGCCTTATCTAAATACTGTTCACTTATATGTTTCACTGTAAACACCTTGTTCACACACCCCCTACCTTTCCTAAAGCCTCCTTGTTCATCTGCTATCCTATTCTCCATCTTACTCTTAATTCATTCAATAATAGACTCTACCATACACTTTACCAGGTATACTCAACAGACTTATCCTTGCTAATCATTGCTAAAATTCATATAGTCTTTAATCTCAAACTGTGTATTTTTATTTTTCTAGTAACTTTTGTAAACAACTTAAGTTAGCTTTAGTGCAATAACAAGTCATAGTCTGGTATTACATTATTTTACCATTTTGGTGTTAATAGTTTTATACTTAGTAAATACTATACTTCATTAATAGCTTAATACATTGTCACACTTAAGTTCATTATGTCTGTTATGTTGTACACACTACATAACCAACATTAACTACACACTTGTCCAACCATCCCCTTAGTACAGATATCATTATTTGAGCTCTATGTACTATAAATAATATAAATAATTACTGTTTAACCTAAATGCTGAATGATCAAATAGATCCAGATCTAAATCCATATAATCTAACTCCCAATCAAAATTTAATGGAAAGTAACTGCCTGTATTACACAGCATCACAAGCCAGCACTGTTCTAAGTAATGCCAGATATATTACAGTTCTCAATTACAATATTAGGTCCCTAAGTAGACACTATGATGACTTCCTTGCATTCCTTGAGTCCCTAAAGACAACCTTCTCCTGTATTATTCTCACTGAAACCTGGCTTAAACAGGACACAATATTTATATACCAACTACCGGGATACACAGCAATCCACAACTGCAGACCATACCAAGTTGGGGGTGGTATTGCCATCTATTACTCCAATGAGCTATCATGTTGTAACACCACTTGCTATAGTGATGAATATGGAGAATACATTTTTGCAAATTTTACTACAAAAAAACTCAAGATTCCTATGACGATCGGTGCCATTAACCGGATGCCTCATACGAACATCCAAAATTTTAGCGCTAAATTAAAGACACTAATCATGAACAACCAAATGAACAAGCATCACCTTCTCCTAGCCGAAGACTTTAACAGACAACCGACCAGTAACAGATTTCATCAACAATATGAACAACACACTACTCATACCAACTATAACAAAACCAACCAGATAAGTGCTACCATAATTGACCATATATGGACTAATATACTAGCCCCCTTTAAATCAGGGATAATCACAGACATTACTACTGACCACTACCCCACCTTCCTCTTAACAAACATTGGTAAACAACCTCTGGAATACAACAAGGTCTCTTTTAGGCTCCATGATGAGGCCTCAATAAGTAACTTCACAACAGAGCTAGGTATGATTGACTGGTCTACAGAATTCTCCGAGGCTAATGGTATCGATGATTGGATAGACATATTTCTAAACAGACTAATTATTTAGACTATATAACAAACATTGTCCCATAAAAATGAAAGAGATTATGAATAAATGGCTAGGTTGCCCATGGCTAACCAGCAACATACTAAGACCCATTGACAAGAAACATCAGTATGAAAAACAATATAGAGAGAGCTTAATAACCAGAGTTGTTGTCAAACAATACACATCCGTTCTCACCAACCTAATAAGAAAGGCTAAGTAATTGTACTACTTCTGTAGATTCACTGAAACAAGAAGAGAT